CTGCCTTGTTGGTGTAGGGAATTCCTGTGCTGGCGAAAGGGACGCTGTTTCCTTTGAATACTTGGCCCTTCTCTGCCTCTTCTTTTCCAGGGGAATTTGTTGCAGGATTTGTCCAGTTCAGGGTGTTTAATAGTGAGAGAGCAGCCCAATGCCTTGTGTGCTGGGATGAGAGTCACTGGCTGCAACACTGAGCACATGAGTTTACTTATTTATTTATTGGCTGTGTTGGGTCTTCATTGCTGCAGGCAGGGGCTTTCTCTAGTTGCGGTGAGCGGGGCCTACTCTTTGTAATGGTGTGGTGGCTTCTCTTTGTTTTGGAGCACAGGCTCTAGGTGCGCAGGCTTCAGTAGTTGAGGCACGTGGGCTCAGCAGTTGTGGCTCACGGGCTTTAGAGCGCACGCTCAGTAGTTGTGGTGCACGGGCTTAGTTGCTTCGTGGCATGTGAGATCTTCCCGGGCCAGGGCTCGAACCTGTGTCCCCTGCATTGACAGGCGGATTCTTAACCACTGCACCACCAGGGAAGTCCCAAGCATGTGATTTTTGAGAAGATATATGGCCTGGTGTGTTTGTGTGTGTGTATGTCTGTTTGTGCACACCCACCCTATGGAGTATGTTGATGTGTTTCTCCATGGCTTGCATTTTTACTTTTTTGCTGGTATTTTGTGGACATAATTTTTAAGTTGTTACTATTATTTTTTAATTGAGATGTAATCGATATATAACATTATATAAGTTTCAGGTGTATAACATAATGACTCTATATTTTTATATATTGTGAAATGATCACCATAATAAGTCTAGTCAGCACCCACCACCACACATAGTTACAAATTCTTTTTTCTTGTGATGAGAACTTTTAATATCTACTCTCTTAGTAACTTTTCAATGTACAATACAGTATTGTTAATGATAGTCACCAGTCTGTACTTTACATCCACAGGACTAATTTTATAACTGAAATTTTGTACCTTTTGACCACTGGACATAATTTCCTGTATTGCAGTGCAATTTATCTGTATTCTCATGTATGATTAGTACTTTTATGTTGTGTTTAAAAAGTATTTCCAGGGCTTCCCTTGTGGCGCGGTGGTTGAGAATTCGCCTGCTCTTGCAGGGGACACGGGTACGTGCCCTGGTCCGGGAAGATCCCACATGCCACAGAGCAGCTGGGCCCGTGAGCCATGGCCACTGAGCCTGCGCGTCCGGAGCCTGTGCTCCGCAACGGGAGAGGCCACAATAGTGAGAGGCCCACGTACCGCAAAAAAAAAAAAAAAGATGGGCATAGGACTTGAGTAGGCATTTTTCTAAAGAAGATATAGAACCAGCCAACAAGCACATGAAAAGATGTCCTACACCACTAATCACTAGGGAAATGCTAATCAAAACTATAATGAGATACCACTTTACACCCTTAGGATGGCCTTTATATAAAAAAACAAACAGAAAATAACAAGTGATGGAAAGGATGTGGAAAAATTGGAACCCTTATGTACTGTTGGTGAGGATGTTAAATGGTATGGCCCCTGTGGAACACAATATGGCAGTTCCTCAAAAAATTAAAAATAGAATTACCATATGATTCAGAAATTCCACTTTTGGGTATATACCCCAAAGAATTGAAAGCAGGGTCTTAAAGACATATGTATACCCTGTCCAGAGCAGCATTCTTCACAACAGCTAAAACATGGACACAACGAAGTGTCCACTGACAGATAAGTGAATAAGCAAAAGTGTGGTATATACATATAATGGAATATTACTCAGCCTTTAAAAGGAAGGAAATTCTGACATGCTGCAACATGGATGAACCTTGAGAACATTATGCTAAGTAATGTAAGCCAGTGACAAAAAGACAAATTCTGAACAATTCCACTTAGGTACTTAAAGGTATTTAAATCATAGAGACAGAAAGTAGAATGGTGGTTCCCATGGACAGGGGGAGCATGAGAATGGAGAGTTGTTGTTTAACAGGTATAGAGCTTTGGTGTTGCAAGATGAAAAGACTTCTGGTGATGGTTGCACAACAGTAAGAATGTAATTAATACCACTGCACTACACTCAAAATGGTTAAGATGGTAAATTTTATGTTACGTGTATTCCAACAGTTCCAGATTCCCATTTTCCAGTGTCCTTCCCACTGTCCAGGAAGGTGGAATTTTTTCAGAGCAGTGGTTCTCAAACTGTAGTATGCATCAGAATAATCTAGAAGGCTCCTTAGAACACCCCCTGGAGTTTCTGATTCAGGAGGTATAGAGGAAGACCCATGAATTTGCATTTCTATCAAGCTCCTAGGTGATTCTGATGTTGCTGGTCTGGGAACCACACTTTGAGAACCACTGTCCTAGAATTTCTTTTCCCTAGTTAGTGTCCTATATCAGATTGTTAGAGCTGCTGCAGCAAAACACCACAAACTGGGTGGCTTAAACAACAGATATTTATTGTTTCATAGTTCCGGAGGCTGAAAGTCTGAGATCAAGGTGTCGGAAGGGCTGGTTCCTCCTGAAGGCTGTGAGGGAGAATCTGTCCCATGCCTCTCCCCTAGCTTTTGGTTGTTTGCCGCCAATCTTTGACGTTCCTGGACTTGTAGATGCATCACCAGAATTCTGCCTTCAACGTCACGTGATGTGTCTGTCTCTGTGTCCAAATTTTCCTTTTTCATAAGGACACCAGTCATATTGGATTAGGGCTTACCCTAATGACATATCTTAATGTGGTTTTCTCCAAAGACCCTATGTCAAATTAAGGTCCTATGCTGAGGTACTGGGGATTGGTACATCAACATCTTTTTGGGGGATACAATTCAACCCATAACAGTTCCCTTATATATTTTGGTCTCCACATGGCTTATCATAGGCAATTCTATCCTTTCCTTTTCTGCAATACTGTCCTGGCCTCAGCTGCTTTTTAATTGTAGGATGCCTTTATGTGTTAGGCTTGCAACAGAGTTGAGCTTCTGGTTCCACTCTCTTGGCATTTTAGGGGAGGAATACTCCCTTCTTTGTATATTATTTCTGCTCCTTTAACACTAAGAACAAACCACAACCCATCACAGTGGGACCATGAGACAAAACTGTATGTACAGAAACCAATAACTGTCCCCTTTATTTAAATAAGAAGTTAGAAGACATAATGGAAGAAAAGATCCCATTTATCAACACAATAACAATAAAAAAAAAATATTGGGGGATAAATTTAACTAGTAATGTGTGAGATCTAGATGATGAAACTATAAACACCAAGATATTTTGAGGAGGAAAATGGTTCAGTCCTGGAATAAGTAGGGTGAAGGTGCCAACAAAGCATACTGACAGATGTTACAAGGAGCCAACCTGTCATGGTCTCCACAGTTAAAATAGCCAAGTCTTCTGAAACTATTTCCTTTGATAACCCACTCAAGTACACATAACAATGATAATGCCATGTGGGATTTTTAGGAATTCTTTATATGCTCTAGATACAGCCTTTTATTAATTATGTGTGTTACAAATTCTTTTCCCATTCTGTGCCTTACATTTTCACTTTATGGGTTTTTGATAAACAGAGGTTCTTAATTGTAATGAATTGCAATTTACTGTTCCTGTTCCTTTTGTGTCTTATTTAATAAATTTTTCCTTATTCCCAGGTCATGAAGATACCTGTGGGGTATCTTCACAGGTATCTTTACCTGTGTAATATTCTAAAAGCACTGTTGCTTTATGTTTCACATAAAAATCTACAGTTGAGCTGTAACTGATTTTTTTTCTTTATTGAGAGGTAGGAGTTGCTTAATTTTCTTTTCCATTTTGATTTCAAATTGTCCCAGCACCCCTATGATTGATTTACTGTTATTTTCCCCACGTCTCTGCACTTTTCCGATGGGTGGTTTGGTGCCCACTTGCTTTCTCCACTTATTTTCTCTCCACATCTTCATGTCCTTAGAGTGTCCTATCCATGGAAATCCAGGCTGGGAGTAAGGGAATTTCACAAAACTGGGTTCTCCTTTGGGCTGGCAGGAAGACCATTTAAAATGGGTAAGAAAAAGAGACTCCAGCAAAGGCCCAGAAATCATCTCCCCAGTTTTGGAGTCTGCAGTGTGCTGAAGGTTCCCTGCAGCTCAGAGACATCCACTCTGATGAAGGGTAGACCCTGCTGCCAAGAACATCTTAGCACAGCTCTGTTACCTCCACTCCATTGAACCACTAACTTGAAGGAATGATTGCTCCTAAGAAAGTGACTCGTGGACACTGACCCCTCTCCTGGCAATGAAGAAAACAACAGAAAAGAGATTCTGGTCATTGTCATTGAAAAAATATAACCAAGGTGCAGAAAGTGTCTTAGTGATCACTTTTATTTCCCTTTCTCTTTTCTAGGCATGAAACCCCAAAGGGAAAGGGATGGGAGACTTAATGACCAACCAAGAACAGCCCCTGAATTTTCCTTCCAAGGGGTGGAGCTTTCTCTTACTCTCTCCCTTCTTCCACCAGCTGCTTGGAATGCAGATTTTCCTGCTAAGTTGGGATCCTGTGGTTATCTTGCAGACTCGCTAGGGATTGCTGCTGTGTCCTTCAGGTGGAAAACCCGTGTTGCTTCTGCCCACATACTTTGCCCAATGGAGACAAGGATTTTGGTTTTCTCAGGCTAAGCAGAGAATCACAGTCATAAGGTTCATTTACTTCAATGGGAAAAATATAATGTTACAAAATTTAAAAATTTGCTAATTAAAGATTAAAAAGCAAAAATTTAACATTATTATTATTATTTACTATAAATATATAATATTTTAAATATTTAGAGCACATATTTGTAGAGCACATTTTATTAAATATAAAAGTCAAAAACATCAATAAAAAAGGAAAAATTTCAGGCTTTGACATTTCAGGAAGCTTTGAAGACTATAGTCTCCCAGATATTTAAAAACAAAACAAAACAAAACCTCAAGAGCAGCTTCTGTGAGAAAAGATATAAAATAATCTTTGGTCCAGAAATGGGTGGACTTCAGTGCTTTACTTGAAGGATTTACTTGGAGCTTTACATGCATCTCCAAAAGAACCCACACTAAGCCTGCAAAGCTCTTGTTTCTAAGGAACAATAAGTGAAGCAAATACAGTATGAGTCCTATGACAATACAGGCAGCGCATAAAAAAAACCAAACGTTAATGTCCCTTCGGGCAAGATATCAAGGTCTCCGCTTCATCTCAAACAGCTGATGCCAGGGGCAGAATCTGGTTTACCTTGAGGCAAGAGGCCACTGATACAAGACAAAGTGTTTTCTAAATGACTGCACGGTAAGAAAAAAAAAAAGAATCCAGGATTTTCAAGGTGGGGAAAAGTTAAAAGAGACTCCCTCCGCATTGACTAAATATCTGAGGTAAGAGCCATCAGAACTAATCGTTATCCCTTCTCCCAACGTCAAGGAGCTGTAGAAAAGGCCGCCTTGCTGCTCAACAGAGAAGGAAAGAGAAAAAAAAAATGAGAAGGTTAGTCTCAACATAGATTTACACCCCATTCACTGGATCAAAACAAATTATAAAACCATCATACTTATTTCCACAATATGCTCAAAAGTATGTACAGGCAACCAGAAACTATAAGTCTACATAGAAGGTTTGAAGAAAAATAAATGAATTGCTAGAAATGTAAGATATAGTTTTTAAAATTCATTAACATCTATTGTTAATATCATTTGACATGAAAGATATTTTAATAACAACAAAATAGAAAGGACATAATCACAGAGTAAATATAGTTCTTTACCTTGAATACATCTAATTGCATGGAAAATCCACATTTTTGTTCTTATATATTTTATGATGTATGCCAACCCCTGGAAACTGTCATGACCTGTCACAATCTTTAGAGGGCAATTTGTGAATCTCTGATTTAGTAAAAACTCCTCTCATGATCAAAACTTTTGACATCATTCATACCCCAGATCAATGAGTTCTCTGAGAAAATATATTTACCTCCCTTTCTCAGTGACAGAATCAACCACTTGTTCCTATGTATTTTCATAATTCTGAGGCAAGATTTTATTATGTAACTGATAACAATTGCATTCAAATATTTATTTGCCTCTTTTAGCAATTATTAAGAGAGATGGTGATTTCCCATGTTTGCTAAGCTAATATTTTCTATTTTGAGAACATCAAGGAAATGAATTACTCAAAGGGTTCGGATGAATTAAAGCAAGAAATGAGTTCTCAGATGTCTAGCGTTACAAAGTTTTAAAAAAACAACAACAAAAAATTGCAGGAATAGACTATAACCAGGCCTAAAACCGGTGTCTGCCACCAGGATGTTGTGGCTACAAAACAAGCTTTCAGTACTCCTGTACACTGTGATATCCTGTAAGATTGAAATGTTAGTGTACTTACTGGGGTAAAACCAGGATGGGTTTTTAAGCAAGGAATGGATATGGTGACATTTTTTAAGAGGAATGTAGTTTTATTCAATTTGAAATTTTAATGCAAAGTGTTCCTCAAGATACATATTAAGATACACATTCAGATTTCATATTTTTGAAAAACACTAAAATATTTTATTATACCCCAAAAACTGCGATTTTGGAACTTAAGAGCTCTGTATTTCAGAATGTCAGCATATGCCAAACCTGTACTGCAATCACAAACTCCCCACCAGGCCCAGGTTTTCAGGCTGCTTGAGGTCTTACCCAGCAGTTACACACTTTTCTGGTAGAAGTCACTGAATACACATTTTTCCTCATATTCTCAATAGTCCTTTGTTAGAAACAGTATTCAGCAGAGAATAAACCCATATGTTGATAATCAAAGAATGAACATCTGGAAGATTACTAAATCCAAATGTAATTTAAAATGTATCATTTTACTCCCCCCAAATTTTACTAGTCAAATTTTAGAAGTTTTATATATCATGTAGAAACAATATTGCTCAGCTCCCTCAGCTGCTAGGTTGGGTCTCTGTCACTAGTTACTATATTGCACATGAGATACCACATAGCAAATACATACTCTTTTTTTTTTTTTTTTTTTTTTT